TGGAGTCCCATTGGGATGACTTCATACAATACAAGATATCTCAAGAGAGTGAGGAATGTGTGATGAGGAATCAGCAGAATGCCCGACAGAAGCAATACCATCATCGCATGGGATCAGGTGGTTATAGGAGTGCTATTCTCAAGTGGCAGAACCTAGAAGCAGAGATTACTGCCAAGGGAATCATACCTGAAATAATAGAGAAGAACTGGCCTCAACGCGTAAAGAATTGGTTCTACGCTCATGGGGAAAGCCTAGACCCAGACACTGGCAAGCTAATTTTTGGCCAAAAAATTGAGAGAGCAATATAGAGACTAGTTCGTGCTAGGGAAGAAGCTGATAGTGGTGTTTTCAAGCCCAACAAAGATAAGGATGAATTGACATATGCCCTAGAGAATCCCGAACAGGTGATCGAACAAGAGGCTATGGGGTGGTTCCGTGGCTACAAGCATTCCCAGTAGACAAGGATACCTACAGAAGCCGCCAGAGAAAGAAGGATGAGGAGGCAGACCGAATCCGTGTATTGGAGCAATTTGTTAATGAGTCACGACAAGCATTGCTTAAATCACGTGAACGAGAAAAATCTCTTGAGGCAAGAATGCAGGAGGAGATCAAGAGACAAGTGCAGCTAGCAATGAGTCAAATGCAATCGCAATCAACGCTGGGAGTCATCATTAGCCCCGTTGGTCAGATGAAAAGCAGTTGTGCTTCCATGGAGCTACCAGTTATTCAAGATGACGCTGGGTTGCGCTTCCCTGTTGATGACATTACCGAGCCTCTAACAACATGTGAGCTGCACATTCCAGATGGTAATAATGCATCAATCATGGTGGCTGTCGGGGTTGTATCTCCAATAGACTGAATGAAGACACCAAGAATCCATGGGTCAGTTATTCAACCTGGATATGCTAGCGTCTCGGTCGATAGAGTGCTCAAAGGTTACAACAATGTTCCTCTTGACATTGAAGACGGTGATGGGGAGAAGACACTAGGAGAAGCAGAGAAGACATTTATTCAATGGCGCAAATGCTTCATCATCATTCCTGGGGTGCCACCGCTTCCCCTACCTCACCCTAGGTACGAATGAAAGTGAATGAAATATTATTTTCCATTAATTTTCTATTGGCTTCAAAAATAATTGACTCACAACTTGTTTTTGTAGCAGGGTCTCCCCCCAGCCTAACCCAATCATTCATTCCCCATCTCATCACAACGTCGCGGGGGGTGAGACGACTTCATCCCCATGGCGATCTCCAACTCCTACACCGGCCCCATCGCCTCCACAACGATCTCCAACTCCTACACCGGCCCCACCGCCTCCACAACTATCTCCAATGCCTCCACGCCAGTCTCCAACACCGGCCTCATCGCCTCCACGCCGGTCTCCAACATCGCCCCCACCCCCTCCACAGCGACGCACTACAGAGACATCTAAGGTCCCGGCGGCAAAGAAGACCCCGAAAAAAAGAGTTATTTCTCAAGAAATACTTCCTGAAAAGACTGATGAGCAAATAGCAGCTGAAGAAGACAAAAAAGTGAAAGATTTTTTTTATAGATATCAAAAAGCAGAGACAAGCGAAGCTTAAGGAGAAGCCGTACTTTTACATACCACGAGATCTGCTGAGGCAGAAGGTCGAAGATCACAAGAAAAAGATGCTTGAACTTCGTAAGCCTCCACCACTATTAGACTATGACCGCTCCCTCGTGAAGTCACATGATGCAGATAAGAAAAGGAAAAGAGCATCATGGAAGGATGTCCGACGGCTCAAACAACAGAAGCAACCAATGCAAAATCTTGTTGTTGCTAATGAATATGGTTCCAACATAGAAGTCTATCGACTAGACAACTCTAGAGAAGTGTCGGTTCAAGACCTTAATGCTTTTTTTAAAGATACTGGTTTAACCTTGGATCAATTGACGGGCAAAGCTCCAATCTAGAACCTGGAAGTTGATACCTGGAAGACTTATAAATTTGGCAAAAGTCTGTACAACCCTGCGGCTCTAAATGAATTGGGTACGCAAATGTACTTGCTCAACAAGTGGTACATGCAGGCGTGTGGTAGGGGTGAGGAGTGGATCTTTGTCAGATTTAGAGACCATCATTACTTCCGTGGCAATGACATCTTACATATTAGTTTCGAAGAATTGCATCAACTATACCACATGGACGCTCTGGACAAATCAATCATTAGCTCCTTTTGTTTGTAAGTGATTATTACTTTTATTAATAAACTCACTTCCATGCGTACATGTATATAATTATCCTCACATGTAACTTATATTTATATACAGATTCCAGATGTCAGAGCTCCAAAGAATACAAGACACCAATGTTGGCTTCATTGATCCTTATATCGTATTCAAAACCGATATTATTGCCAAGGAGCATTGGGTATCTGAAGCACAAAAGAATATCATAAGGTTCTTCGTGAAGCAGCACGACAAGACAATAATACTTTTCCCGTATAGCTTTGAGTAAGTGTTAATAATAATGTAGTCTACACATTTTATGTAATATCAATACAACTTATATGCATGTACGTGTGTGTATAAACCAATGCAGGTTTCACTGGATACTCATTGTCATTGAGTTAAACTCAAGTCGGTTAGTAATCTTGGACTCATTGAGAAAAGAGCAGACACTATACCAAGATATGATAGACATTATCTAGGGGTAATTTTGATCTCTCGCGAACAACTATTATTGAATAGACTTTGCCATAATTTATTAACGATCGTACATTATTGGTCACACAGGGTTTGGAAAGAGTTTATTCGGCAACACCGCAAGGATTGCAAGGCACCACTTAATGTAGTTAAAATACCAGTAAGTTGTACTATATATACTTCCCCGCGTGTTTAATTACTATATCGTACTTCAATTTACATGTGAGATGATGAGAATAATCTTCTTCTCGTACAGTGGTGTTTGCGGCAGCAACCAGGTAATAACTTGTGTGGATACTACGTTTGTGAATTTATCACTGCGCACATAAGAAGAACTCCTAAAGATATCCTCAGAGTACGTATATATCAAATTTTTATTTATTTTTAAATGAATATATATATATATTAATACTTTTCCTTTTATTTCAAATGCAAGACTGAATGGTTGAAACAAAGGGTCATGCAAAAATACCATCTGAAAGCAGTTCAAGAGTCAATAGCAGGATTTCTTCTAGAAAAAGTGCTAGATCCTAACCACGAGTTCTACTTTGATCCTAAGGAATAAATGATGTAAATTAAATGTTTATTGATATCGTTATTTTCGAGAACAAGATTATGAAAGTGTTGTACATATACATATATATCTATAATATATATAGTTTCATACTTTATTCGAATATAATAATGCTTGAGATGAGAATTAGATGTAATTATATATATGCGTGCGTGTATTTATATTAGCAGCGTAGAATACGTACATAAAACCATATTATATATTAAACAAATATGTGTAACTGAACTGAAAACAAATTAAACAAAAAAAAGAAAAAGAAAAGGAACCTTTAGTAACGGTTGGGGTTACCAACCGGGACTAAAGGGTGCGGCCACGTTTGCTCGGCTGGGGGGCCTTTAGTCCTGGTTGGTAACACCAAACGGGACTAAAGGTCCCTCTTTAGTCCCGGCTCGATGACCCGGGACTGAAGGTTCCACCTTTAGTCCCGGGATCGTTGTCCCGGCGCGGTAACCGGGACTAAAGGCCGTTACCGTCCGGGACAACAAGGCCATCATGTAGTAGTGCACGTAAGTGCTCGGTGCTCGAGCTTCCCCACGTTCTCGAAAATGTCCCAGGCACTAAAGACGACACCTTTCAGTTCGTCGCCGGTGATATGATGGATTTCATCCCACCGGCTGATGCTGTGCTCCTCAAGGTATGTACGTCCACACTGCCCGGTTGGCGCCGGTGCTGTGCTTTGGATCGGGGGCCCTAGGCCGAACTCAACATCACATATCATAATAAAAACTATATATAATTGTACGTTTCTAGGTATTGCACATGATATAGATATATGTATATATATACTTTCACTTGCAAAACAATAAGGGTTAACTTTCCAAAATTCTAAACCGTATACTAAAAACAAAACTAAACAACAAGAATCCTAATGATCAATTATGATTTATATTTTGAATATATAACTTTTCTAGAGGTGGTTGGTGATTTGATCCGCCTCTAAAAATAAGTGCAGCAAGATCTTACATGGGTAATGTTTGTTGAGCACTAATCTGTCTTAAAAATCCTAGAACATCAGGTTTTTCAGGACGGAGGGAGTAACTAAAATAAATGTCAAATAATCCATATCTAAATACCAATATAAGCTATTAAAGGAAACAATACAATAACCATAAAGCATGTTTCATATGTTTCTAAATTTTACACGTCTACCACTCTAGCATTGATGAGTAAGTATAAATGCTATGTGTGTCACTATGTAGAGGAAGAAAACATGCATATATTAGGATAAATATTTAGTTTAATAGCTTATCGATCGTCAACAAAAGGTCTCTTAACAAACCGTGTATCAATGCAATAATAGTGAAAATTAATTTAATATTATACCTAAAACATCAAAGGATTTTTTTCAATAAAGGATACGAGTACTAGAGTTTCAACTTAAGCAATAACTATAGCTTCAAAAGTTGATAGCGAATATAGATTCGTGATGTCAAAAAAATATGCAACAAAGAGTTGATATAACATAAACTAAAGTTTCACCAAATATTTCTTGAAGATCAGTAGAGATGTAACACAAAATATAAAAAATACATATAATGCAATCGATAAATGTATCATAACCTGGTGCATATTATAGGGTATGTATGGGCATATATTGTGTTGGAAAATAAATAAAGAGATACATAGTCAATATAGAACTTCTTTGATTAGTATGTTGTATGCACTAAATTTTGTCACGAATTTCAAATACTTATGTAACATAAAATTCTATACTATGCTAAAGCAAAGGTTGATTGACTAGCATGGCTAACTCGGATGGCAGAATGTGTTGCATGATTGGAGCGATGAGGACTGTGAGAATCTTGCAGCGATGCAGAGAGGCTATCTATGCTACTGGTGCAGCAGGGAAGGTTGTGATTATAGAAATGGTGATGGGACAGTCCCCATCGACCAAAAAGGCATTTGAAGCTCAACTTTTGATGGATATGTGCATGATGGTGCTGTTTACGGGCAAAGAACGAGGGGAGCAAACATGGAATAAGATTTTCATGGATTCAGGTTTTACTCGCTACAAGATTAGGCCTGTCTTGGGGGCTCGATCGGTGATTGAGCTTTATCCATAGCCTGTGATCATTGAAAATTTGGCAATTGTACATATGTTGTACTATTGTTCATCTTTTTTTGTAATAAGATTGGTGTGGTCTTTGTTTAACTAGCAACCCAGCTTGTGTGTACGGGTTATTTTTTCCATATGCAAATGTTAGCTTTTTGGGGCTTTTGATGTTCACCTTCTAAGCTTCAGGAATCTTTTTGCCAAACACCTTTTTCATGTATGCTATTTCTGATTCCTCCTGATACATACTTGAGCTACTCCAATAATTATACATGAAATGCAATAATAAAAACATAAGATGCAATGCCAACATATATATGCAAGGTGCGTGCTAGCCACACATGAGTAAAAGTGACCCTATGAAATGAGTATGGTGAACTTATGCAAGGAGTTAAGGGATGAACCTAAAATAAGTTTGGGTTGAGTATAAGTTCCCTTCTTGAGTTATCTTGTTGTTTCAAACAAAATTTTAGATAATTCCTCCAAGAGTATAACAAATGCACAACCATAAATTTGACACTATCACGAAGTGCTCAAGTCTTTGCTCAGCTCTCTAATGCTCACACAAGCTCACAAAGGCTCTATCTTGCTCTCCAATTCAATGGTATCTCAAATTTCACTTAAATCCTATAAAGGGTGATTGGGAGTTCTCACAAGGCTATTCTGAAGTTTCGCAACTCTCTAAAGTATCAGCAACCCTCCAAGGGCCGTGGGAAGGAGTATAAACAACCCTCCCACAAAAACTAGCCATTGGGGGCTTTTTTTAGTCAAAACCGGCATGGGCCAGTTTTCTAAATGAGCCTAGACCGTTTTACACAGAAACTAGTCGTTACCATGTAACTCTATCAAAACCGGGCGAGGCCAATTTTCTAGCCCACTTCCCAATTAACCTTATTTTCGATGTTAGTCACTCGGAATTCTCACTTGGGTATTTTCAGCACTTCTAGACCTCATCTAGTACTTAATGTTGCATATCTCTTGACAGTAGAATACTTATACTCAAGAATTAAAGATTCAGAATTTATACCACTTGATGAGCCTTTCATCTTTCTTGTCTTCTCAATTTTCATCACTTGAGGGCTTTCAACACCTTCATTGCCTTGAGCTGAACCACATTGACCTATGACTTTGGATTTCTCAGACCATTTGATTAAGACTACACTTTCCATCACAAAGTCACTTTTTCCAAACAATTCAACAATTATTTGATCCTCCACAACAACATGACTTTGCATAGCTTCATTAGTACATCAACTCAATGCAAGTAATCTCTTTTTCAACCCCTTTCCCGTCACTTGGTATCCAAGCCTTCACTTTCCCTTCACTTTTGTTTAGTACCTCGAAGCTCTTTCCTTGCCATTTTCACTCTATCAAGCCATCAAGTCAATTCTTGTCTTGAATCAACATTGAGCATACATTGAAAACCATCTTCATTTCCATTGTTGTATTTTGCTTGAATTTGATCTAGCTAGCAAGCTTCATGAGTGAGATCATCCCATATGCAATCACTTATGTCTCATCCTTACTTGATACACATGTTGATAATTCATCAATTATGAAACCCAATATCAATATTGCACAGTATAATTAAGCTTCATATAAGCGACCAAATGATTTCCATCAAACCATGTCCCTTTTGTTATTTTCATCACATGCTTGTCATTTATGCATTTCATCAATTTACCCAGACTCATTTCTCATCTACACGTCATTTGCTTCATTTGAGCTCAATCATAATAAATCATTACCTGGGACTAAATACCTGCAATTCTCATGAATTCATTATTCCCTTAATAGTGTTGTCATTCAATCCATCAAAACTCACTTAGGGCCTAGCTAGATGCGCTTTCACAATTAGTGGATCGCACACACCTATTACAATAGCATTGATGGAACAACCTAAGTACTTTGGTCAGCATGGATATGTCATGGCAGTTTGTGATTTTCATATGAGGTTTACATTTATTGTCACTGGTTGGCGTGGATCAATACATGACACCCGCAGATTAATGGATACATTATTAACATATAAGGAGAAATTTCCACGTGCCTTGGAAGGTATGCTTAGTTGTTGCATGCATAAAAGACTTTTTTGTACATGTGTATAAATTATCTATTACGGAGGTCGGCGGCTTCCCGGGCCTTGTGGCTCAGTTCGGACTCCTCGCCGAATAGAGCAAGTGGTTACCCTACGTGAACTATTGATTAGCTTCGCATAGGCGTGTGACGTGGATTTTTACCTAGCTGATAATGAGATAATATCCAAAGGTAACACGGTACCCCCACCCGTAGATAGGATTGCCCATCCATAACCAGCTAGCTATGCAACTGGTGCCCCACATAACAGGAAGAAGACCTAGCTATTCATTAGTTTATCGAAAAGAAAGCTATTCCTTAATTGTTCCTGAATCTCCATCTTTTCCAAATAAAATTTGAAGCAGTTGTAGATAAGCAAAACTAAGATATTTATTGGCCCATTTTTTGGGAGTTGGCTTCGAGAGTTTCAAAAGGATCTCAAACCTCTAATATTGTTGGGTGCGGCGGCTATTTATTTGTAGGTGGTTTATTTGGTAATGCATTGGCTACATTCATGGGTTATTCTCCAAAAGCCCTACGCACAGGCTTTGGTGCTGAAGCCATCGCAACAATTGATGTAAGAGGTTACGGCATTTTTCTTCGAGACACATGGGTGGTGATCCAGTCTTAGGATTGATTGTCATTAGAGTGTTAGGTTTCTTTCTCTTAGGCTTTGTGTTTAGGCAGAAGCCGGAAGTGAATTCACTTTTATTGTAATTAACTCGATGTAATGATTATTAATTAATAAAATCCTTCGTAAAAAACACAAGGAAACAACCATGTACTTTTTAGTGGCACACAAAAACAATTGACTCGTTTTTTCATGTAACAATGCACAAGCATTTGCCTAGTTTCACAAAGCAAAAATTGATCAATTTGTGCAGGACGTGAAGAAGGGTCCCCTTTGCATAGGGGCCTAAAAAGTAAAACGACAATTAGATGGCATTACTAGTATCATATATATCAAACTTATACGGCCAGCAGCAGCTAGCAGCTTTGTAAATGAAACAATATATCAAAATCATGTCAACACGCATGCAGTCCAAATCAGACAATATGACTTGAGAAGAAGCATGGATCGGATGGACTTAATAGTTAGTCACTTGCTAGTATCTTGACGGAAGGATGACAGCCAAGATGACAACGACGCCAAACATGAGGATGGCGATCCCGGTGAAGTTGATGGCAAACACTTCGCTCGGGTAAACGATGGAGGCGGAGACGAACTTGGCCAGGCCGGTCTCGGCAGTGCAAATGGCCATGAGGAAGATGGCGAGGCCGAAGAAGATGTGCCATGGAGCATAGTCCGCCCTCATCGTCATCACGGCCCTGGGGAAGACAAAGTACACGAATGCCACCAGCCACTGCGAAATCAACAATAAAATGAACAACTGCTACAGGAAAGTTATGATTGGTTTGTTGTTGTGTGCTTGCATTGCTTCGTGTGTCCTGTTTTGTTGGCTGTAATGCACTGGTGTGCACTCGTCGAATCAAAACAATTTGCAAATGCATAGGAAGTACAGAATTTTCATGAAATTTTGGAGACCAAAAGTATCCAAATGAACTCCACATGTTTGCTGGGCTGCGCCAAAAGTCAGCCACACGCATCATCAGCCCAGATACGCAGCCAAAAATTGGCCCAAAAAACTCCCAAAATTGGCCCACGGAAACTCTCAAGGGGGCCATCTTATATATTTTTTTAAAAAGAAAAGAAACCATGGCGCGCAAGCTCTACCCTCAATATTCCACCAACGGTGTGCCAAGGCGATTCAAATTGATTATCTTCCTTTATATTACCGAGAAAAAGTTAATTGTTTTTCTTTACAGCTTTGTAGGCTGTGATAGCTTTTCTTTGAGGGAAGAAGTCCTTTTTAACTCCCCGACTCTGTGAAGTCCAATTTTGTTTCTTCATCTATAAAGCCAAATATTTTGTCGTCTCTAAAATGTAATTTTGAGATTGTTTGTTTTTACACCATGGCTAGTTCCAACAACGGTTTTAGCCCGCGAGGTAGGTACAATGAACTAGGTTGACAGTTCATGGTTCAAATAGACTTTACCAAGAAAGTTATACATTGTGTGAGGCTTCATGCTGCTACCGCCCCAACAGGAAAAAAAAAACACCCTTGCTCCTCACCGCCACTATCGCCTAGGGCCTCTCTCCTTCTTCTTCTTCTCCGGCGACTCTGCTAGTAGCAAGGAGAAGGGACCCATCTCTCTTTTATGCAGTTTTAAAATTTAGTTTGCTTAGGGTTTAGTCCAAATAAATCTACCGGTGAATTCGGATGGTTTTCGGTCAAGATCTTGTTACCTACGATGACTTTAGTGATACCACGGCGAGGTCGCCGTTGCCAGCGTGAATTTCATTGACAGACGGTCAACTGTGGCCATTATCTACATGGGGGTTCTCCTGGTCCGGGTCGTCGATCTCATCGTCGATGGTCGCGGAAAGGAAATTAAGGACTAGACGTGATGAATCAACATCCTATGAGTATACCTCCGATATTCCTCTACCGATTTAGATGTGATTTGGACTAGTTCCAGAATGTTGGATCTTGTATGCATGTCCAATGTTTCGGGGTTGATCGTTGGATTTGGTATAAGGACTCCACTCTGGCTTTGGTCTTCAACAAGGTTTTCTTCATCTAGAGCATTAGCTGCATCGAAAAAAACACTATGGAAGAAGACGATGAAAGAATCTAGTAAAATACTTTATCGTTATTCAATTTTTTTCATATGAAGATTTAGGGATATACTATGCCGAGTTTTAATATAATTCACCCTTCCCTTCAAAAAAAAAGAAAGTTATACAAATATTTTTTAGACACATCCATTTTTTTTTGGAAAAGATATACAATTAAAACATCCTATCTCATTTAAACTTACAAAATTCATAGAAAATTGTTTTAGCTCGGGAAAATATGAAACCATTTTCAGATTTTTCCTAAAATCATGGTCTATGTTCAAGTGCGTACCTTGGAGTTACATTAATCTTATATGGTTCTCTTTTAGTATTTATTTTGTTATCTACCATAATTGTTCGACAATGATGATCCAAACAACATAAAAGGACAAATCACTTTGACGACAGCACAAGCGTCATATAACCATCTCATATTTGATCCTATTTAGTATGAACACAAGTATCACTTGATCCTATCTATAACCATGTACTATGTTAGCATAGACAACATGGAGTGATAGCGGTGCACAGAAAATGTGTTGTGCTATATATCTACTACACTAATCTTATCTATCTGCAAAATTGTTTCTGACTGCCGAAATAGGAATTGAGTTGGCGTTGGAGTCAACACAATATAATAAGATTGTATTTTGAAAAAGAGCATTGTGCCTAGCGTCAATTTCTGTAGTAGTGAATGGGCCATTTGAAAAGAACATGGCATTTTGGTCACTACTCACTGTGCCTAGCTCTTATCCAGTGACACTTGTGTTCATACTAAATATAATCAAATATGTGGTGATTATATGACCCTTGTGTTGTCGTCGAAGTCACTTGTCCTTCTACGTAGTCTCGGTCATCAATGTCAACTAATTATAATAGATAACAAGACATCTAATAGCAAATAAACACCACAAGGGCATTAGAAAGATTCAAATAACTTGGGCATAGGAACTAGAATACAAACCATGATTTTAGAAAATTTCAAAACCAGTTTCATATTTTTTTAGATAAATAAATTTTCTATGAATTTTATAAGATTTTAAACAAAAATTTAGGTTTATCTACCTAGCTCTTCCAAGAAAAATATTTGGATATATTTTTTAAAATATATTTAATATAATTTTTTTGGTAAAGTCTATTTGACCTTATTGAACTATCCCTATAGCTTAATTTACCTCTCTCGTGGCTGACGTGGCCTCATGTAGATTAAAACATCATTGAAATCGAAAACAAATGGTTTTAGAAAAAGTTAAAAGAAGGCAAACAAATGGTTTTATAAATGGAGGAAAATCGGATCTCGTGCATAATGTAGAGGACTTTTCCTTCTTTCGTGAGAAGAAAAGAGGGGCAGGGGTTGGTGGGATGAGGCCCATGCATAACAGGGTCATGGGCGATGGTGGGGCCAGAATGAGTAACTTGTGATTGCAGTCTATACGTGGGCTACAAATTGGGCTCACAGCAAAGAAGCAGTAAAGTAGAGCCATACTTGTTTCTCAAAAAAAAAAAAAAAGTCCTTGGTTATACTTGACTGACCTGAAGAGCATAGAGCGCTATGGTGGCAATCCCGAGCCAAGAATGCAGGGAGCGGATATCAGGGAGGCCGTTGTCATGGTGGAACTTGAAGGCGGCGTACAGGCCGACGGCGGCGAAGGCGAGGGCTACGAGATGTAGCAGCAGGTGCACGGCCTTCTTGGCCGCCGTCGGGCCCAGCACGATCCTGTACGCCATCACCGCTGCGCGCGCGCGCGCGACACCACACCAATAATACATGAGAGCATCAGTCACAAACTCAACGTTATTGCTCCATTTTGCAGGCAGTAAAGACGTGCGTTTGTTGGTTTACCTTCTCCGGTGCAGATGATAAAGCCGATCACCATGAACAGAGGGTGTGCCTGACAAAAGGGTGCGCATATTATATTATATTATATTATAATAATAATCATGTTTAGGAATATATGGTGCAATGCATTACAGAGCTGTACTGTATTATACAATATCAATTATGGATGGAAAAAAGTATGCATATACACAGCAAAATTAAATACCAGTAAGGGCATGTTTGGATCCACCGACTAAACTTTAGCTGGTTAAATTTAGCTGCCAGAGATTCAAACGGTCCAGCTAAAAGACTAGCTAAAGTTTAACTACCTCAATCTAGTTAAACCCATCTAAAGTTTAGTGAGTGCTATTAGCTGAAGGATCCAAACACCTCAACTAAAGTTTAAATGAGAGAACTTTTAGCTCACTAAAGTTTGGCTTCGAAATTGTAGGTAGGTAAACTTTAGATGGATGCCATAAGTATTGCTTGACACTTGGTTAGCATAGCAACCGATTCCCGATGGATGGATTATTACCGTATAGACGAAGAGAGATTTGGATGTCGGCTTCCATGAGACGCCTCCACGAAAGTGCAGCACCCAGACGAGCGTGAGCGCGAGCACGGCAGCCGCCAGCAGCTGCGCCGTCAGCAGCATAGGCAGCGCGGTCATGCGGAAGCTGGCGCTGCTCTTCACAGGCATTATGGCGCGTCGCCGTCTCGTCGTCCTCCTCCTCGCCGGCTGCGCGACGGCTACCACCACCACAGCCGGCTGCGTGCTGCCGCCACCGCCACCGCCGCGTGATGGCATATATGGTACGGTGGTTGACAAAGGGGTGGATCGTTAAAGGCCGTGTCCTGGTGGCGGATCCAAAGCTGGTTCGGGTGGAAGACAAGTCCAAGGCCAGGAGGATTGTGGTGCGTCTAAATAAAACCGGAGAAAAACTCTGGTTTGGCCTTTGGAGCGTTGCGGTGAGTCTCCTTGTGCTTGGGTCCATCTAGCTGTTTCTTGTCGTGGACATGTTCGGACGGCAGACGAAAGAATCGTGGACATGTCGGACGGCAGAGGAAGAATAGTTCAGACTCTTCATCATCAGATCAGAGCATTAAAAGAGACTGAAAAATAGATTGATGAACAATAAGGCCGAGTCAAAAACGTTTGCTGCCCAATGGATTCGCAGATACCGATACCATCCCAAGCGCAGAAACGGACAAGTAACAAGCTAACAACAACGCGCTAACAACAACGCCATGTTCGCTTCGCTAAAAAAACAAACCGAAACACTATTTCGACTGATTCGTTGTTAGAGAAAAATAATGTTCCGACTAAAAAAACAAGATGAAAAATACGGATTATACGCTGAAAAGCATCCAAAGTCTTCGACTACTAGCTGGACCACGAATTGGCACCACCGCTAGTTTGTCCCCATTTGGAACATCAGCTGATTCTGGTGTACTATGTCAGCTCTGCGCAACCAGAGCGGCAGAACACGAGACCAGCATAGCATATTTCAGGTTCAGGAGCACCTGGGGTGGATTTCCTTCGGATCTCCAGCGCAACTGGTCCAACTCCAAAGCCCCTCTTTCAGCGGCAGACCGCAGACCCGTCAGAGGACATATACAACCCTGTTGCTGCTTGCCTCCGGTACAAAAGCAAGTCGTGTCAACATGCAAGCTGTGCTTCTCCAAACAAATCAGATAGGCAGTGTGGCTGGTAACCAGCCGTAACATACAAATCCATTAGCTCCCAAAATAGTTCATTCATATACATACGGCAGAACGTGTAAATTCAACATATAACCGCCATATCATCTATCTGTACTCCGATATTCTTTCCTCCCCTGTTTTAATCCGATAGAGTTCTACCATGCAGGCAACCATGCATTCCTGGAGATCAGAACTCACACAGCTGCCAAAACTGCATCCATTACCACTATGACATCACGGGCCCTGCACATACAATCAAGCACAACACCAGAGTTTATCAAAGATTAGCAAGACAATAAAGGAAAAAAACAGAAACAAAAGGCAAAGTGCCGCTACCTGGGATCTCTTTTCAAAGGATAACCAGAGTGGAGAGTGCCACTGGAATCCAAGCAGAAGACTAAACAACAACAATAACAACAAAGCCTTAAGTCCCAAACAAGTTAGGGTAGACTAGAATTGAAACCCAACAAAAACAATCAAGGTTCAGGCACGTGAATAGCTGTTTTCCAAGTACTCTTATCTAAGGCTAAGTCTTTATGTATATTCCATTATTTCAAGTCTCTTTTTATTGCCTCTAACCAAGTCAACTTCAGTCTTTCCTCTGCCTCTCTTCACGTTACTATCCTGGCTTAGGATTCCACTACGCACCGGTGCCTCTGGAGGTCTCCGTTGGACATGTCCAAACCATCTCAACCGATGTTGAACAAACTTTTCTTCAATTGGTGCTACCCCTAATCTATCATGTATATCATCCGTTGGACCCCAAGCAGAAGACTAAAGGCACTCAAATTTCAGGAAAGATAACCAGAGTGGAGAGTGCCACCAGAATCCAAGCAGAAGACTAAGGACACTCAAATTTCAGGACCTCAACTGGCCTGTAGCATCAGACATAATGACCACCCTAAATTTAACTTGCAAAATAAAAGATATTCCAAAAACATTATTTTCAATACAACAGTCAACCGCTTCTCTAACAACCAATATTGCAGTCTACATGCTACTTATCACAGCATGTACACAAGAAATTCAGAATTAAGTCGCCACTTTAAAAGAACATCAAGAAACCACTAGATGAATCTGATACTGAAGAAACAAAAATACGTGCACCATCATAGGCCAAACAAACGCAGCTACCTGGGACTCTGGGAGTGACACGGAGAGGACATCCAGAAACCCACCAGCACCACAGTAGAGATGATCGAAGGGGCACTTCAGATTTCAGGGTGCCTGTAATCCTGAAACACCACCTCCTCCCGTCCAGTTCTCTAATATATATGCATCCCAAAAAATATGCTTAATTAGAATAACTGTATCACTAACCTAAAGTATTTCTGTTAGCTTTGACATGCTAGTATCACAAAAAAGTAAATGATTTGCAGAAACACTGACAGGTCAACTAAATACATGACCGACACAGGCATCAGCAGGACAACATTGTTAACGCTGCAAAGTGCCAAAACTAATCCATAGATCAACATACAAGCAGACAATCATGCCACTGATAATCAGGAAAATCACTACTACAAACATGGTAACATCTTTCAACATATGCACAGAACATGTTAACAAGAACAAAGGGGAACAACATGAGCTGAATGAAATAATGAACTTTTTCTTCTCTCTAGATCTCGACCCTGTATACAGAAGGAACTTATGTCATATGGTACAGAAGCCCTGCCTATGTTAGCATACTGATCCTACCAGACATATCAAGCATGCAACGATCGCAGCAGCAATCAGGCAACAATGCTTGAGACCTACCCTGCTCTAGAGCCAGTGAGATTTCTCCTGGCATGTTTCAAAATGGAAATGCCCATGCATGTATATATCTACGGAAAGATGGAGCTGGCTAAAGCAAGGATCACAATGTCAAAACACAGCAGACAGCCTTGTTCTAAGAAAGAAATTCCTGAGAACTCCATAACACTGAAGACTACAGCAGCCTTTCTTCAACCTGACATCATGAGCCTTTAATCACCCACCATGAAAGCATCTCGATCCACTGACTGGAGGTCACATCATGGTAGATTCACACATCCTCTGCTGATATCAATGCTTTCTTGTGACCACCCCACCACATGGTGCAAGGAATCTAATGCACAAGCAACTGATCTTCTGAACATGCATCTGCACCTTGCTGAATCTGGACTGTCCCAGAGCTCTTCATCATTGTTCCATGCTGTACCAGAGTTTGTAGATAGCAACACACTCCTTACACTTCTCTCCTTCCATTAGAAGAATTTGGCCTCCTGGGAACTCCAAACTGCAGATTATCCCTGGGGCGATCACCAGGTCGGCCAAAATCATCCAAATTCCTGTAACTACCATTTCTTGTAACAGAATTCAGACGCTCATCTTCATCAGGCCTAATGTTCATACCAGCCCTCGGTTCTGAGAACATGTCTAAGTGTCTTTGTCTAGGTCCACCACCAGTTCTCATGTTCCGGATGTTGTTGGAAGAATTCCTACCTGGAGTATTAGATGGAACCTTCATGGGTAAGAAATCTTTGGGAATGCTATCCAGGTCCATAAAACATTTCCTGGCCTTTGCATCCGCTATTAGTGATGCCCAGTCCTCAGACGACTGCATGAGAGCATTAGCATTACCAACAACCTGAAAAGCAATAAAGACTATAAGTAACATGGGATACATCAATAAGATCATTGAAGAACAACAGTAGAACGCACTTAATGCATATTGTAGAGAGGCAGAGACATACCCATAGAGCTCTCCTAGCTCGAGTTAGAGCTACATTCATACGGCGTATATCAGCAACAAAACCCACACCATGGTTTGAAGCACGGACACATGACATAATAATGATGTCACGCTCCTGGCCTTGAAAAGCATCAACTGTATTTATGTAGATATCCTTCCCTTCCTCAGTATTCATAACATCCTTGAATTCCCGCTGAAGGCATTTCAACTGCAACTTATATGGTGTGATTATACCAACAGAAACCTTCTTGGCACCATTAGCTTTCAGGAACTTCTGAAGGTGCTCATACAAACGCAATGCAAACTGCGCTTCGTAAATATTCTGATATGAAGATGACCCACCCCTATGAGACTCACGACCATGTGACATGTCGTAAAAGATATAAGGTGCCATAAGTGCATCTCTGTAATAGGCTTCATCAGGTAATTTAACAACACTCTCACTATCTGTAAGGCGACCTTGATAGAAGTATTTTGATGGAAATTCACGGATCTGGGGATGCATCCTGTATTGCACTGACAACAAAATGGTAGGACAACCAGCTTGCTGAAACCTCTCGAAAAGACTCCTACTGTAAAGCAAAGTTCCAGCTGCTTTGCTAATAACAGTAGCAGGGAGCTGCTGTGGATCACCAACCAGGACACATCTAGCTGCACCAAGAGCCAGTGGAGGGAGGACTCCTACTTCACTAGCCTGAGCAGCCTCATCAATAACAACCATATCAAAGCCATGAGTCAGGCGAGAAAATAACTTACGCCCGCTACTTGACACAGTTGTAAAAACAATCTCAGCTTCATTGGCAAAACTGGCTTCCAGACTTGCCCTAGCATCTTCCATATTGAAGTTGCTGCCAGGACGGAACCTGCTTTCTAATATCAGCAGCCGCGACATCTCCACCAATACTTTATCCCTGCTTTCAACTGACGCAGCAAGTTTCTGTAGCAGAATATCACGGTTACGATCCCTTTGAGCAAGAACATCAGGATCTACCCCTACTGAACCCTGGGATCTACCAGCCGCTGCAACCATATTGAGTTCCCTTTGAAAATAGGCAATCTCCTGTGATAGCTGCTGCTCACGACCTTTCAGCTGATGTAGCCACCCAATTACTTCATCACGGCCCTTCATTAAAAGCTGATCTGTCCTCCTTTCAACAGAAACAGCTTGTGCAGCACGAGACTGTGAATCAACTCCAACACGGGCAACATCAGGGCGGTATACCTTCATTTCACCATCTATAAAACCACGGTCGAGAACACGAGCAAGAAGCTCATCTGTTGCAGCATTTGATGGGGCACATACAAGCACCCGAGGCTTAGGGCAAAGCTTGGGAAGAGTGCGAAATAGATTCTGATCCATGCTCTGCAATAGTTCATCAATTGACCCTGCCGCAACAGTCTCCGAGCTGGTACTGGTACTACCACTAACTTGCTTGTAACTTTCAGGAGCAAGCTTCTTGAGCAAAGCGGCATAGTAATGTTGATACTGAACAAGATGGATAACATTTAGCATCCCCCACACAGTATGAGTTTTCCCTGTCCCAGGAGGACCTTGTACCAACGTGAAAGGCCATGGTTCTTGTTTCTTTACGACACCATTGCTTGTGCCAGCAGCTGTATGTGTTGCAGCCCAATGAATTGCCGACAATTGAGGACCATTGAAACTACGATGGAGATGATCAGCAAAATTTGGGGTGAAACAGTCTGGCATGGCAGGTGGTTGCTCTTGATACTTCGGGAAATGCTCTGGACTTGGTTTAAGTATTGCATTTTGCATCTGACGGAAATTTTTTTGTCAAAATCGACTGATATATAAGTTTGTAATAAAGGAATATAATGGTTAGGTGTAATATAGCATTACCTGCCCACTAAGACGGCGGAACGCGTGCAAAGCAACATATTCTCTTTGTGTTGTTGCAAGAGAACCGAGTCCAGTTAGATACCATGTACTCCGAGGTTGGAGTTTCCTCAGAACATTAGCCTCACTGCTATGGATACAACACAAGAATAGCGAGACAACTTAGCAAACAAATATGCAAGTGATGGATATCGTTCCGAAATGAAACAACTATAGAAAAGCAATTTGAAGTTGTTTCATAGTTAGCAATCAAGCACATAGAAGATAGAACTTCATAAGGGCTTGTTTGGATGCACATGTATCCACCTCAATCTATGTGTGTTGGAGTGGGTTGGGATGGAATTTAAACGGGTTTATTAATCACCTAACATGCTGCTAGGATTAGTGGGGAAGCACTACCCAAAGAGCTATAACAGACTTGTCAGTTCACAAATCATTTTTAGCTCAATTCATCCAAATAGGCTGCTATGGTCAAGTGAGGCGCAGCCTACAGGGTGGTACGGCCTCATTGGAGGCCCTGTTCTCAAGTAGAATTTGGGCCCTATAGTATCCTGTTTGTAGTCAACAAAGGACTGTCGACTAAGAAGATTAACATTTGAACTTTGATACACTACAAACATTTTACATCTACAGGACATTGCAAACTTTTAAATCACACATTACACTCCTACTGTAATTTCCTTATCCAATTCTCTTATGAAACTTGTGTGGCAATGAGAAAACAATAGATGGTACGAAAGCCCCAAAAGGCATATTAAGAGCGGCAGCAACCCAGCAATGCAGATAAGCCTATGGCTTGCTTAATTATGATACTAAGAGCATCTCCAACAGAATACGTATCCCACATCTCCTAAAAGTCTACATAGGTGATCTCCTATTATCAGTAGTGTACCTTTTTCTTCTTGAAGGGCGGGCCTGCTGCAAGCGGTAGAGTCTTACCGCCTGTGACCGGAAGGTCCCGGGTTCGAGTCGCGGTCTCCTCGCATTGCACAGGCGAGGGTAAGGCTTGCCACTAACACCCTTCCTCAGACCCCACACAGAGCGGGAGCTCTTTGCACTGGGTACGCCCTTTTTTTACCTTTTTCTTCTTCTCTCCCAACAGATTACCAATACCTTTAAAGTGGATAATGGAGAGGGGTGGATCTCCTACGTTTGAGGGAGAGGGGGTGAATTTTAAGTAACTACTTAAAACTTTTAGGTATTAGGGATAGGATGAGTAATCTGTTGGAGCAACACAATACCTTATATCGCATATTTTTAGTATTGGGGATGGATATAAGTAATCTGTTGGAGATGCTCTAACCATATCTTATAATAAAACTACACAAGAAAACATCAGTACTCTATGTGGCTACCCGCTTCGCTGTGCTGCTGCTTCATGGCCCTGACTACATATATATAAACAAGCCTTGACCTATTGTGCTCAAGAAACTAGAGTTAGGAAAACTGCAGTAAAATGCAGAACAGCGGTTTTCAATTGTGTGTACCAAGAACATGAACAAAAACACACAGTACAAAGCTTGTATGTTAGAGAAGAGTTACTTATTTTATTTACTCAGAGACACAAAACTACAGTTTCTAACAAGTATAACCCTACATGTTTTCTAGTGCATTCTATAGGAAAGTCTAAATAACAGATATCCCTACTTCCCTAGGCATACTTAAACAAAATAAGCTTACCTATTATAAGCTGAGCTAGAGAGAAATCCAACTTCAAGAGTATTGTTTTGTGGACAATTCAATGTACAAGTACCCAAAACACATTATATGATTTATAAATCTCTCTCATAAAACAACTTCAGTGACACAACAAACCAGTCATAAGATCTTTCCAAAGATAAACAATATGCTAAACAAACATAGGTTCAGATGCTTTGGGAATGTAGAGGCCATGATAAACGTGGTTGCGAAAATGGAACTTGGAAGAGATGACAACTACAAGAACAATCATATATTACAAAATTTGGCATACCTGTTAGAATCAAATGAATCACCAAGATAAAAATGGATAATAGCTCCAATAGGATCACGTGTATCAATAGGCATATGGCGCCTAACAGTACCGACAAGCCGTCCACATTCCAATTCAGCATCCTCATTTGAACCCATATCCCTCCTACTAGATCGGCCTGATGGAGCAGCTGAAAATACCAACACAATAGCTAAATAAGAAAAACGTTCTAGAGAGCTACATACTAACACAATAATTTTTGCAAATAAAAAACAAAGAAAATTCAGTAAAATATACCTGAACCAGGCCGTGGAAATGACAGAATAGCGACATCACCTTCTTTGAAATTCCATTTATATTCATGCATCGGTAGAACGACAACATCATACCATCCTGGATGCATTAACAGTCAGGTGACTGCAGTGATTGGATATTCAAATACGTGTTCTAAAAGTGCAACAAACCAATCCCACATACCTCTTTCACGTCTTTCCACAGTTTTTACTCGCACTGCTACATGTGCATCCCTTCCCACAGCCTCAAGACTCTCCTCATACGAACTATAAAGCTGAGCTCTGCATTCCTCAAAAAGCAAAGGCTCAAAAACTCTAATGTACTCCTCAGCAGATTCAAAGCTTCCAGGAACACACTCAAGTTCGGCCTCCTCTGTTTAGATAAGAAATATATGTTAAATGCCAAATTACAACAACAAAGGTACACATGCAAACACGAGTGATTTTACAATTTCTGGAATGGAACAAGATAACATCAAAAGTGCGATCATTAGTGAGGAACACATTGACCAAAATATCACTGGATATTCCGGCCACATCGTAACATGAACAATGAAACACATGCAACTCTACTTTGACCAAACGTAAACAATCTTCAGTACAGAGCTAGTGGCGAACAGTAACACGGAGCTGCCACATTTTTAATATATCATTTTAAAATGGATGAACAGGAGTATATTCTCCCTGTGTCAAGTCATGGCCCTACTTGTGTTGAACTGTTAATGAGGGACACTAAAACATGGGGCAGTAATTGTTAAAAGGCAGGACCTAAGCAAATTCCACAAATCTTACATGCATGTAATAAACTGCATATTTCACAAAGAAAAGTTCTAAATTTTCCAGAAGGTGACATCATATATATATAACCAAATCAAACATTGACAACAAAGAAGCAACCTGGATTGTGCCAGAACTTGTCATTTGTCACCTCCCTTATAAGTCGCTCAACAGATGAGTCCTGATACTGTACATTGTTTACAAAAGTTTGCTTTTTGGAAATAATAGACCTTTTGCTGGCTGGCTTCTGATCAGCATTGTTTTGTCCTGTTAGAACTGTTCTTTGGCAAGAGAATGGTCGGCTCTTTTGTTGCTTCAAGTCCATGGATTGCTTCAATGAAGCTTGTCTTTGGACAGGCTGCTGATACACATCTGAGGCTGGCTCGTCTGTATTCATTTTCTTTGACCGGCTCTGGGTACCCAACTCAGCATCACCATTGGATTCAGTGTGTTGGTCACTAGGATCGGCAGAATTGCTTCGTTCTGATCCCATCATTTCAGGTTGTCTCTGATCCCTGATTGCTTGCTGATTTTGTTTTTCTGCAGCCTTTTCACCAGCACCACGAGAAGCTTCCTTCACAGTACGTGTAACAATCGGTGCTGGAAAGGATGACTGCCTCCTGGGTGTTGATGTCTTCATTGTACCAGCTTGTTTCGCATCCTCCACATTGATGAAGACAGTTTGCCTAGCTCGTTTTTTTCCTAGCATGGCCTCTTTGTGTTCATTTAACTTAGGTCTCTTTGCAGGGTTGCTCGCAAACCTCAAAGCATAATTAGCTGCCACTCCTTTAACATCCTTTGACCTGTTGCAAGGATCTAGATCATCACCTGGCTGATTTCCTTTACATTCAGAATTTTGCATGTTCTCTGATCCTGTGGAACCATGAACCAGATCTTTAGATACATCAACCATTTCAGCATCACTATATTCAACAGCAGTATCATCTTTAGTCACATCACCAGATTTAATAAGATGGGACTCGCTCTCTTGGGATTCTTTCTTCAAATGAGTGCTTGCAGTACCAGTGAACTCATCTTTGTTGCTACTCCCTGCATTTTCAGAAATGCCATCTGCATCAGACCATTCTCCTTCTTCTCTTTCAACGGCTTGTGACACCTGATTGCAAGTCTCAGCCTTCGGAGCAGCACTATCAGTGATTTGATTGTTCACCATGGACGGTGATGTTATACTAGAGTTCTGATTATCTTCCACCTTCATCGGCTCCTTTGTATAGTTTGAATCTTGGTTGTTCCTCACAAAAGGCTGAAAGCCAGAACCAATGGATGCATGCTTAAAGGCATTATTGTTCAATATCCCCTGCGACTGTGATCCTTCCCCTGGCTGAAACAATGTTGGGACATACGTTGTCGGAACAGGAAGGGATTTCTGAGGTTGTGACATGACAACAGCAGCTTCTTGTGATGCGACAACAGCGGCTTCTTGTGGTACGACAGCAGCAGATTCTTTTGGTACGACAGCAGCAGATTCTTCTTCAACTTCTGCTGGGAGCTCGTTAAGGTCAAATAACATCCTTCCTCGAGAACCCATGTCATGTGTAGATGCATATAGCTTGAAACTTTCAACTAGTGGAACCAGTAGCGATTTCCTGGAATATAAGAGCACCCAACGAAGGGAAGTTACTATTGCCTTTCTGTTGGGACAAGCATCTGCAACACAAACATGCATAATATGTCAGTAATACAGCAAGAATAGGAAATTTCAAAGGTTGCTTGGATGCTTCGGTCCGCTAGTGAGGTGGCCAGCCAACAAGGGATGAACTAGGAAGTGAACAGATACAGCAGACTGATCATTTCTTGGTACTGCAGGGAAGAACAATTTCAATCAGGTGGTGCAACCTGAATATCATTCTCCGCTGGATTCTTTTCATGTTCTGACCCAGGCCATTTCCTCCTCTTGTTGTCCACTTCCTACCCATCTCAAGAATTTGGATTCTAGTGATACAGGATCTCAGCATCCAGGCCGACCCTTTTACAGACAAAGTAAATAAGTACATATACATGCCAGGAATAGAAGAAAAGATTGTGCATATTGCATATATGTAAAAGTTATGATGGCTACGCAAGAGCATAAGCTAGTCTAGACACAGTATCATTTCTCCAAGGGAAACCACAAAGCAACACCATACAGACTAACAGACAAAAGCAAATGCGATAAGCATGTGTTGAGTTTTAGGAAGTTAATAAGCTATACAAAAGCAACAGCACAAAAATAGATTACAAGTCAGGATCGGAGCTGGCTACGTCCATTCTAAATAAAATGATTTTTCCAAACAAACAGAAGCTATGGAAAGAAAGATAAAAAGGAAAGGAAGACTACTACTTACAGTGGTGTAATGGTGTTGTTCTTTGTGTTTTGTTTTTTCTAATAATAAAATCCTTACAGTGGGGGTCTCCCCGCTGTATTTAAAGTTCAAAAAAGAAAAGGAAGACAACTCCACCTAATCCTACAGTATTAAGTATTAACACATTAAAAAGACCTACTTGCTTAGCTTGTCACCCGAAGCACACGGTCCAAAAGATGATGTATTACATGGTATTCAAGTCTATATGCTACCAATAAACGACATAAAACATCTCTTCAAATTATCAGAACAAACACGTAGCTAATACTCCAAACTAAAAGCGAAGAAAGTGAATAAGCTGAACTCCAGCATCTCTAAATGCAAAACCTGACCAAACTGTACAACCACTCAAAGCTAATTGAGAGCTAACTAATACAAATAACTGATAATCTCCTTGTGTTGACTCAACCGGAACATAGATGATCCAGAGCCATCCAGACAGAGCCGGACTAAAACAGAACATGTTGTACCCTACATGTATGGCCAACAAATAACATCTCAACCTACAATATTGCACATGTGCTCAGAATGAGAAGCCAACAATACAGGATGTACACGGCTATACACGTTTGACAAATGTACCTAGAATCAGTCCAATTCTAGCACAGTTTCAACTACATCGCAACTGTGAATGTAACTAAAAAAACAGGACGCCTAAGAACAAGAATCTATGGGCCTTCTACTTGCCAGCTGAGGCAACCTAACATAATGACTAAGAGGGTTAATTTTTTTAAGGAAATATTCAAATTCCATGGACAACCCTTGTTCCTAATCTAAAACACATGCATCAAGAGTTTAATGGTGATCTAACTTAGGACCTAAAACTAAAACAGGACACAATGTATCCCTTCCCTGCATGTGTGTATAAATAAATGACAAGATGGATCCTCAATCTGCGACAATCCGCTCGTGCTCTGAATTAATTGCTAGCTAATAGTGACAGGAACATTGTAGAGCAGTTAACCCTAGGTCAAAGCATTAGAAGAATCTAGGTTTAAGTTAATCTCGGCAGGAAAGTTATAACTGAACTGCAGAGCAACAACGCATGGACCATCCCAACAACACATTTCATCACTCCAGAAGAAAGGGGGACTTCTACTCCCTTGTAGATAACACCAAGGCCCACTAACGTCCTCCTCTGCTATCGATCTACCGGGATGCCGTATTTATAACCCCGCCTTTATATAAATCAATAAATCTCGCCAAATTCTTCCCATAGAGTAAGGATCGCGCCTAACAGTTCCAGATTTGGCAAACCGGCCAGAGCCTTGATCCCCATTCCGGCTTCCAGACTCGGCAGAATCACCCCATAAAAAATAAAAAGGTTTAATCGTTGCACTAAAGCCGCTAATTCGGCATCCCCAACCAGTCCCGAGAAATGAAATGAAATTGGAAATCAGTCCCGTCGTCTTAACTAACCGCGCCGCGTCTCACCCACCCCCCGCGGGCACGCGACGCGCTAGGATCCCGTTCCGTTCCAATCCGTCGGTTCCGTGACACAGCAGTCCTAGGGTATGATGGCATGGTCCTGATTGGGGGGAGTAGGATCTCCGTACCAGGCGATCGTCGGGCGGCGAGTCAGCGGCGGCGGCCAGATCCAGCCGGGCGAGGGCGGCGGCGTCTGTTGACTAGGGTTCGTTCCCCTGTTTGCCCTTCTCCCCCAGCAGCAGTTCCTTGGCTGCCCCTGTGATGCGCCCGCCGGTGGGCTGCTTGTGTTCTTTTTTTTTTTTTTCCTTTTCTCTTCCAATACTTTTTTTTCCCTTTTCGGTTTGGTTTTGGAAGAGAGAGGTTAGGCTTCTTCCTTCCGGCTTTCGATTGCTCGCCTCGCCTCTCACGAGGGCCCGGCCCCTGCGTGACGAACGACTTGGGGAGAGAGAGAGAGAGAGGAGGAAGGGTGGGTGTGAGGGCAGGACGCCAGGGGTGGGGTTCTATTTATAGCGCTCCAGCCCGTGGCTACAGCCCCGGTGCTACGCGCACCAAGCGAATCCCACCCACGAAGGGTTAGGCTCCTGTCGCGCGGGGCCAGATGCCGGTGGGAACCAGCTGTCTGTGAGCGCCGGGGCGAGCCCCCCGTGCGCGCGTAGGCGTGGGGCGGTGCGAACCGGGGGGGGGCGCGTGGGCGACTGGGTGTCCGCATCTCGGTGCGGTCGCACCAGGTTGGAATTCATTTCCAGTTCCCTTCCCTTGGTTTCTTCTCACTTTTCATTTCCCACTCACACGTCAACTGAACAGCAATCCACCCAATAAATAAAAAAAAATCTGTTTTTTTTAGGGAGAAAACAGGGAAGGATAATCAAGTGCGGCGGCGAAAAGGGCTGTAGGTGAGAGTACGTGCCCTTTTTCCCGGCATAATAGGATATAACATAATTAATCATCTCTCCCCCAAAAATAAATTAATTAATTATCCCTGCCCCTGCCTTCTTTTTCTTTCTTGATTTGCTTTCAGGCTGGGTCGTAGTTTGAGGAAGCATCTCCAATCTCCAATTAATGAATGGCTCGTGGAATGGATGGGGATGTATCCGCGGCCGGCCGGGTTCTAGCGCGACGGCTATGGCTATTTAAGGTACACTATTCAATTCGTTGCGCTGATTGTTGGTGACAGAACTGTATTCTTCTACCAAACATAAATGGGCTGCATATCCTCTGAATTGTGATATGTTGTGCCTAGAGGTGTTTGGCTTCCCTCCTAAAGTTTTGTCCCTGGCACATCGGATGTTTGACACTAATTTAGAGTATTAAATATAGACTAATTATAAAACTAATTGTACAGTTTGAGACTAATTTGCGAGACGAATCTATTAAGCCTAATTAGTCCATGATTTGATAATGTGGTGCTACAGTAAACTTGTGCTAGTGATGGATTACTTAGTCTTAATAGATTCGTCTCACAAATTAGTCATAGCTTCTGTAATTAATTTTATAATTAGTATCCGGACACCCGATGTGACAACCAATGTGATACCTCCTAAACTTTAGTCCTGAATTCAAACACCCTCTAAACTCAGGTGTATAATAGTAAAAACTTTCCCAATAAAGAGGCCTTTTCTTTTGGCAAATAGCTTAAAATGCTAACAAAAGATAAAGACAAAATTCTGTATCACTGTAAAAATGGTCAGCTTCAAACTGGACAATTCTCATTAAAATCACACTATCAAACTTTAATTCATATAGACATACCTAACATAAACAAATGTATTTGGAAACTAAGAGAACCTTTGAAGATTAAATTTTTTGTATGATACTTGCGCCGAGGTGTCATTCTTATAAAAGATAATTTATCCAAGCGAAACTGGTAAGGTAGCAAAACTTGTTGTTTTTATCATAAAGAGGAGACAATTTGACACTTTTTTCGATTGTATTTGGTTATGATTCCTACTCCTATAAGATTGTCTTGTAAGAATAATGACTTCTTATAGGTTAACATCTTTTTACCCCCACTAACTAAATACGCTAGATTATTAAATATAAATAGTTTTAAAATAGGATTTAACTACATTCATGTGGCTTAAAGGGGTCTCAGGACCACATGTCAGTTGGACAAAGGACACGGCCAAGTCCTAATTCTAAGAGAAAAAAATGGTGTGTGCTTGTAGCATGGCACCACTCATCACAACAAGCAAAGCCAAATGCAAAAAAACAAGAACCTCACTTACCAATCTAAACGTTGCATTGCCATCTTTGTATGGTTGTGTACTTCACCCATCATTTTCTACCCGCCCTTTTCTCTTATGTTGTTTAATAATCACCCAGGGCAATTATGGTGTCAAAGGTTGTCCAATGCTTTTCTCCTTGTCCTTGTTCACTCTTTTTTTTGTTGCCATAGAATTTGTACCATCAAACTTGTAGGAAGGTATTTTTGTAACTACTAACGCGTAGAAAAATGCTAGGAAGAATCAGATCGAGGTAGTGACTGGTTTTCGTCCATGATTCTGATCGGTATTTGTGTAATTCTGCGCACTTCTAGTACGACGATCTATCTTCCCTCTTCTCTGCCTGCCCACTCTCCCACCTTGCTTGAGCACCCGAGTAAGTACAAGCTAGAAAATGGAACAAATAAAAACACGCACATGGGAAACAAAGGCGGACGCCTCACAATCATAACGTTCAAGTACCACAGTACCATGGTTCTGCGTCAACAAACGTTACCGACTTGCTAGACGCATAGGTGAAGATGGAAATGGAAACAACCCTCTTGCAGGCCCTAAAATGTCAGACGAGCACTAAATCGACTTGGGCGTGAACCCTCTCGGTCTCCCATAAAAAACCAAAGTGAAACAAAAGACATGCTTCCCACGCCCCACGGCAGTGCGTGAATGTTCAAACTATTCTTCCATGCTAAGTGTCAAATGGTGTTATATGTTTCGGTAATGCTGCAGTCACGGCATCCGTCCGCCAGGATGCTTGCTTCCTGGGCCTTTGGATAGGCCCAACTAGTCTGCTGGAGGACATCTACGACTTCTAAAAAACTGGACGCTTCATCGACTTCCCAACTCCACCTCGCTGCGTTCTCCACCGTCACACCCGCGCTGCCCGCTCGCCGTGGTCACCTCCACTGTGCTACCTGCTTGCTGTGGCTGCCTCCAACAAGCCGGCGAGCCTCCTCACCGTCGCTGGGGTCTAGCCGCTCGCGGGTGCCACTGGCTGGCTGGGTCAACCCAGCAGTAAACCATGCGTGTGGCCAGGCGACTAGGAGAAGGGGCTGTCGCTGGCCGGGCCCAGGCTAGGCGCAGGTGTAGCTGGCCGCTGCCAGGCCACGGCCGGCTGGCCGGAACCGGCCGTTCCCCGCTCTGCTCTGCGTCGTACGAAAGAAGAAGGTTGAAAAACGCATGTTGCAAGCGTACGTTTCAAGTGTTTCGGATGCTGCAGAGGTATGTTGCAAGTGTTTCAGGTGGATGTTTCATATGTTGCAATGGTTGTACACATATGTTGCAAGCGTGTGTATCTGGATGTTGCATATGTTTTCACACATATGATGCAAGTGTTTTATTTGAATGTTGCATATGTTCGTAATGATTTTCAAGTGTTTTTCAGGTGTTTTTTCAAGTGTTTCAGAAGCATGTTTTAAATGTTTCATCTGTCTTCAGACGTATGTTGCAAGTGCTGCATATAGATGTTTCAAAAGTAGATCAAGTGTTGCAAATGGGATGCGCGTGGGAAGCGGGAGGAGGTGGAGGGGTCCTCGTGCGTAGTCTAGCGGCACGGTCGACGTCCGAGCGGTGTGGGCCCTGCGTGGAAGCGCAGGGCGAAGGCGTGCTGGCGTGATGAAAGGTCCTAATGGCTAGAGGGGGGTGAATAGCCTATTAAAAATTTCTACAACAACACTTAGCAAACCGGTTAGACAATTATGAGGCGAAGCCAGTGTTGCACTAGCCTACTAAAAATGCAAGCCACCTACAACAATTCTAGTTTCTATCCACACGATAGCTATGTCACTACACTAAGTTAGTGTGCTCTCAAAAGCTAACTAAAGAGCCACACTAACCAAACTAACAAGCTCTCACAACTAGCTACACTAAAGAGCTTGACAACTAGTTTACGGTAAGCAAGATGGTTATACCGCTGAGTCGAGGAGTGAACCAATCAATCACAAGAATCAATATCAATGTAGAACAATCACCTCGGAATCAAATGATGACACAATGATTTTTTACCGAGGTTCAGTTGCTTGCCGGCAAGCTAGTCCTCGTTGTGGTGATTCACTCACTTGAAGGTTCACGCGCTAATTGGCATCACACGCTAAACTCTCAATAGGGTGCCACACAACCAATACAAGATGAGGATCACACAAGCCACGAGCAATTCACTAGAGTACATTTTGGCTCTCCGACGGGGAAAGGTCAAGAACCCCTCATAATCACCACGATCGGAGCCGGAGACAATCATCAACCTCCGCTCGACGATCCTCGCTGCTCCAAGCCGTCTAGGTGGCGGCAACCACCAAGAGTAACAAGCGAATCCCGCAGCGAAATACGAACACCAAGTGCCTCTAGATGCAAACACTCAAGCAATGCACTTGGATTCACTTCCAATCTTACAAAGATAATGAATCAATGATGGAGATGAGTGGGAGGGATTTGGCTAAGCTCACAAGGTTGCTATGTCAATGCAAATGGCCAAGAGAGTGAGCTAGAGCTGACCATGGGGCTTAAATAGAAGCCCCCACGAAATAGAGCCGTTGTACCCCTTCACTAGGCACTGCTCGGGGTGACCAGACGCTCCGGTCAGATCGACTGAACGCAGGATCCCAGCGTCCGGTCGCCCGATGCTTGCCACATGTCA